TTGTATTAAAACCATTGACCATGGAGAGAACAAGGTGTCAATCTATCTCTAACGAACAAAGACACTATGTGTATAGTTGTTCAGATTGAAAATGTGACAGTATATCGCGAAATGGATAACAGCTCTTCTGGTTACATTGCCGTGCTTCCCGAGAGAGAAGCGATCGTCATAGGTTTCAGGTGATGCTCCTATTGAAATTTGCAATGCGTGTACAACTCGAGCGCTACATAATGTGATGTATTTATCAGAAATTAAGATTACAGAGGTCCTAAAACGGCAGATTTCATAGCAATAGCATACGAAACAATAGTCACTACTTGGATGGTTAGTTTTTTTAAAATATTAACTAGGAGAAGTATCATATGAACATACAGTAATGCCTCGTCAATTTCCGGCAAAATTTGATGACGTTTACATAGCGCGATATTTCTACGACGAGTTCATACCACTCTGGAACAATTCTGGAATGAGTGCCAACGTGCGGGAGCTCATTAAACGACACTCTGATTATAATATTTGGGTGTGCTTTTTTTTTGTTTCATGAATTTTCTTGAGATAAATCAAGCATAACGTTTTTAGATTACTGGGCATTCGCTGGGAGGCTCATTAGCGTCGTTAGCAGCACTCGACATTGTTCATTCTGGTATGGGGAATAATAGCACAAAAGATAGGATACATTTGGTGACGTTTGGTCAGCCAGTGACTGGAGATCATAATTTTGCAGATTTTCTTAATAAACAGGTGCAGGAGTCATAACTTATAAAAAGCTTGCTCAAATAGTAAAATTTTAAGGTTAATTATTCCTACCGAATTGTTCACTACAGCGATCCCGTCGTTTATTTTCCTATAATAGGATACGAGCACCAGGAAGCAATGGTACATTAGAATAGTGTCCTTAATGCAAATTGTATCTTTTCAATCAATGCTTTTCAGGTTTACTACGATAAGGTTATGGACACTAAGTATATCATTTGTACAGGTGCAAATATACTTTGTTTTCTCTTTCTTTGCATGCTATTGCTACCGTTCCAGGCGCCGAAAGAAGGAAATGTTGCGATTCTTCGTGCTTTTGGTTTTGGCTCTTTCCCGAAAGCTGGTACCATTATCACTATTTTGGCAAAGATGTCTTTGAATTTGGCAAATCTGGTTGCAATTCAACAGTGCTACCGCGTTGATTTTTCCTTTCGCCTTTCCATCGAGCACCCATGTTGCCGAACATTTTCATTCGTCTACTTCTGGATTTTCTTCTGGTACAACGATAAAGACTCAGCTACTTTCTATTAGGTTGTCGAATTTGTTTGTTTGTATTGTTAAAAATCTAAAGAGCTACTATCATGTTAAAGGTTTTGAAGACGAATCGTCCACTATTCAGTAATGTACTTCCCAATCTATAAAATAATTTCCTGAATGCCCACATAATGCCCGGATGTTGTCTGGTTCATTGAAACAAATGCCAGGCGAGAACTATTCCG